GGTCCATCTTTAACTCTTGTCCCTTCTCCTGGGGTGCCCCCTTCATTAGCCGAGGACAGAGCTGCCCAGATCCCCACCCGTACACTTTCATAGGACCATAAGCCTGGGGAAGGCAGACACACGTGGGTGTGCCTGTAGGAGCGATGTACTCACTCATCCAGGAAGTAGCAGGGTCCAATGCTGTTAGAATACATAGATTTATTTCACTTAAAAAGTTGCTGTGTAATATGCCCTGGTGTGGAAGCTCTCTTGGTCAGCCATCTGGAGTCCGGCGGCGTTATGCCGTTTCCCATTACTCGTGTCTGCCTTAGTCATGCCTTCCTGTATTCTTGGGCTTCTGTAGACTAGATGACACAGGATGTCTGTGCTGGGTCCCCGGAACAGGGCACTTGCTGTCCTGGCAGAGGCAGCCAGCTGTTCCCCACAGCACGCAGGACAGGCCCCAGGAGAGTCGGGGCTCCACAGGTGTTTGTTCAAACAAACAGCTTCCTTGTAAGCTGTAGGTAAGCTGGAGTTGCCGGTAGGGATTTTGGCTGGCTGGAGAGGCCATCAGGGGCTGGCAGGCACAGTGGGAAGAATGTAGAAGTCCTTTCCTTCAGTGGGGAAAGGACTTGTCAGATGTGGAACCTTCAGCGAGTCACACACCTTCTCGGAGCCTCAGCGGCATTCTTTGTAAAAAGAGGATAATTAGTCCAACTTCCCAGGACTGTTAATCGGTGCAGGTATGGTCCCTGGGAAGCTGTGCGGCTGCAGAAACGCTGCCGTCCTGCCATCCTGCCCCACTGCCGCCGCCGCCGCCTCCCCTGTGGCTATCATCGAGCGAGTGACTTTTGGGGGATCCAGAAAAGCGTGGGGTCCCTGGCTGCGCCACTTAGGAATATAGTAGTACAATACCTGCCTTATTTGGTTATTTTGGCATTAACCACGTTAATAATGATAACGTTCTTACAAGGATGTCTGACACATCATAAGAGCTACGTGTTAAGTAAAGGAAAATCCAGCCAACAGAGGCTTAAGCCATAGGATGTTCTTGCCCCCTTTCTAGGAGATCTGGAGGGAGGCAGGTCCAAGGTGTCTGTCCTCAGGTGCTGACATTCCAAACTTACGAGATTGTCACTGCAGGGTCCCAGTGTAGCTGCTGTAGCGCCAGACCCCACAGGACACTCTAAGGCGGGAAGCCCACAGGCAGGTGACCGCATTGGGCGCAGTTTCTCCTGTGACCAGCAGAGGGCGCGGCTCCCCTCCTTACCACCGGGCTCTGACGGGAACTGCTTTGTCTTCATCCCTCTCGTTCTTTGGACCTGGAATTCCCACTATAGGGCCTGGCCCTCTGGTCCCACTCAGTTGGTTCTCTAAGGACTTGGACCGAGACGATGGCCTGAGCAATTCTGTTTAAGCGATGGAGTTTGCTGGTTTAATTCTGTTTCTATTGATGGATAAGGAGAAAAACCCCACATAGCCTGTGGATGAAGGGGCAGGAGGTGGTGACCTCTGTCCCGAAGGATGGACCTTGTCTGGCTCTTTGCAGTTCTTTGAGGCAGCCACGTTGGGGCTACCTGTGCTGCCTGGAGTCAGGACATGGCTTTGGGCTTTCTGATCAAGAACCAGAAGTGTGACTCCTGGGAGGGGCCTCTCTGATTTGGAGCCCCAGGTGGGACAGGAGAGGTTTTAAGCGTGATTATTCTGGGTAAAGGTGACAGGGAGGGGCCGGAAACCAGCCTTCCCATCCAAAGCTCAGCCTACATGCCTTTGTGCATCTTATTTTGTTTTTTAAACAGCTTTATTGCAATAATTTACATTCCATAAAGCTCAGCTGTTTAAAGTATAAAATTCAGTCGTTTTTAGTGCATTTACAGAGTTGTGAAACCATCACTGTAATCTAATTTTAGAACATTTAGAACATTTCTATGACTTCCCCAAAGAAAGCCCCTACTCATGAGCAGTCCC